GCTACCCCTTTTCAATAGATGTTGGGATAGGAGGTTGTATTCAGGAAACAATTTTCACATCCCGCGATGCTAAGCCCTCAACCAAACCGTTTTTGATTACCTTACACAACGCCACTCATTCATGTACCATTTCGAAAGAACACAAGAAACTTACTTGTAATTCTGATAGCTAAGCAGTACACCAAAGGTCATTTGCGCAATACCAACAATGACAGAAATTTTCATTTTCATTGAGTTCAGGAAATTCAGCTTGTTGGACTCTGCTAAATTCCAAATTGGGTCAACTCCAATGGGATATGGTCCAGCGGCAGTCTGAAAAACTCGTGTAAAACGCAATAATCTCTTGTCTGAAACCAAGTCAGAACTAGCCTATAAACGTCAAAAAACATACGTCGTAAGCGTTTTCAGGGATAAGCATGAGAGTTTTCTCTTCTCCATAGTTAAGCTTTTCAATCTCATTCAGATCGTAACAGTTGGTCCATCCTGATCCGAATACATTCATGCTCTTCGCGAACACGTCATTATAAAGGAATCCGGTATATATAGAAAATGCGCCCATCAAGAAATATAACATACCGACCGCCAAAGAAGGTTTGGAAGATCTGTAAAAACACAGCGTTTGCTTGTCGATAACCAATGTTTCAAAAAGTATTTCATTACCTCATCCTTTATGCGTGCAGCCTCAAGTTGCTTCTCTTTGAGGATGAAGAAAAGAGCGGCAAGGAGCATGATCGTACCATGTCCAAGATCTCCAAACATTATAGCAAAAAGAAAAGGGAACGAGATCATTGTATACGGAGCTGAAAAGAGATAGTATGTTGGTTGATCCCTTCTAAACATAATCAACGTGATAACAATTTGAATGATCGACAACTTCAGAAATTGCTGGGGAGCGTTCATAGTCCGCGACGATTTTGTTGCGCGACTTGCGCTATCAAACCATCCAGTGAATAGAAGTGATGGGAGTACGGCACTATTCTTGAATTTCATCATCGTGGTTGATTTTCAGACCACTTCCTAGCGTTTCACGGCAAATGAAATAACTGCAGAATCGCCTGAGTCGCGCAACTGAACTGAAGATGTCGCGAAGTATAAACGCTATTTCACAAATCACTGAAGATCACGAGGGATTCATGGTTGCCTCTCTATCCGAACTGGTCTTACCAGGATTGATTTCCCTGTATGTGGCTATCCCATATGAATCAACTATATTTTGAAAGCCTCTTGTAAACTTGTTTGTCTTGTGATAAGTTGGTGGTGCTTCAGTAGTTTCCATTCGATTTAAAATTGAAGGCACCTGGCTCCCACTTTCTTCCTAGAAATATGGAAAGGTTACGATTGGAGGGCAGTGCAGTTCTTTGGCATGAAAAACACTTACCGT